AAAAAAAAACTGACCAAGCAATCGTTCAATGTTGTCTATTAGAAGAACACTAAGTTTAGAGCGGAACGCATCGCCGAAAGCTTTTCGAAGCATTTGACATTTGGCAGATTCCGAGAAGCCCACCATGTCACCAGGGGAAATGACCTGAATAGGTATCCGTAAGGGAAAATCAAAATCAAAGGATTGGTGATCATCAATTTCTGATTCATCTCCAAGACGATCGTAAAAATGCTAGCTAAGAAACGCAAGAATTAGCAGAACGATGACAACAAAAGATATATTCTCTTCCACATTCCCCAGAGGTAGCAAAAAATAGAACATAGAAAAATTCTTCTTCTATTCTAACTAATTTGAAAATCTCATCATGAATGTCTTACCTTGATCAATGGGAAATCTGATGCTCTAGCTATTTCCGCAGCCAAGAAACTCTTTCCCGTTCTTGGAGCACCTAAAAATCTACAATTTACGAGCTGTTCGAAGAATGAAGTAAAGTTTTATAAATACCAGCAAGTACAGCTGTAACAAATCCTCCAGCATCTGGATTGACAGTTTCTTCAACGAGTCTCTGACCCTCTTCAAGGATTTTTGTTACCTCGCTACCCCATACAACCATGCCCCGTCTTAAGAATTTTTCGAGAGATTCATCACTTCGTCCAAAGGCCTAAAGATAAACAGAATTAACAGAACTTTATTTTTGCGATATGTTCTAGCTGCGATTGCGCTAACCGGTTTGATATCATTTTCCAGTGCGTACTCGAAATCAGATGCGTTAACCACCAACTTTTCCACGGCATTAGGATCTAGCTGCACCTGAAACAAGTATTTTTATGGCTTTGTCGATCATGGTCAACGTTGAGATGGTCAATCTAATAAGTGAAATACTTATCATAAACCAGCTGAGGAAGTAGACGGTCACGAACTGGATAACTCGGTTAATTAGATGTGAAATTCAAGCAGTTAGTATATATTGATGAAGCGGACTACCCTTCACTAACACCTTTCACTGACGAAACAAAAACTGAGATATGTCAGAGAAAGCGATCGTCTGTGTGCTAACTATCTCAAACATATGATTATGGATGTATTCAATGCGAGTACTAATAACAAGAAAGCAGCAAGTCTACGGACCATCTGAAGTAAGTGAGAACAGCTGAGGCACTATTTTTTGAAGTATAGTTGATGCAAAGCTTGAAGATAACAACAGAGTCGCTTATTTTTTGCCACATTATCAATTCCGTATTGTATCTCAGTTTCTGATTAATAGGTAGTAGTTAATAGGTAGTAGGGGTTATAGTTGTGTTCAGGTCGATAAGAAGAACATCGGCAAACACTTTGACTCTTTGTATCAGCTTTTTCTGAATATTGTATTAGTTCTCATTGATTTGCATAAGCACTTTTTATTCATTGCATTCTGAGTTCTCTCCAAATGATGCGTTTACAAACCAGATAGTACAGAGTCACTAGGTCGTGGAGTAGACAGATACTAGAACTGCTGATTTTCAAGATGAATCATGAAAAATTGACGTCTAACCAGGGGAGGACCCATACTCGAAACCGCCAAATCAAATGAAGTATGTACCAATATGAACAGCATCAAACGCTGATTTCAAAACTGTCTTTGCTTTTTGC